TCAATTTGATGAGAATTGCAACGTCCACATGGATTGCGAGACCTTCAATTAGGCACATACCCAAAAAAGAATAATCACTTAAGAATCATTTTTTAATAATTTTTAATGTGCGATGGAAACGGAATGTATCCGTCGCAAATTTGCAACGGATACTCAACTCCGTCGCAAATTTTGCGACGGAATTTTCATTTATTCGTCGGAAATTTGCGACGGAATAAGGTTTCCGTCGCAAATTTGTGACGGAATAAGGTTTCCGTTGCAAATTTGCGACGGATACTATGTGCCGTCGCAAACGTTCCGTCGCAAATTTGCGACGAATACTACGTGCCGTCACAAATTTGCGACGGATACTCAAATCCGTCGCAAATTTTGTGACGGAATTTTCATTTATTCGTCGCAAATTTGCGATGGAATCAGGTATCCGTCGCAAATTTGCGACGGCACATAGTATCCGTCGCAAATTTGCAACAGAATTTTCATTTATTCGTCGCAAATTTGCGTCAGAAACTATTTCCGTCGCAAAACGGCGTGGCCGTTCGGCCACATCCAAAGGCCGGCGAGGTATCGCCGGTCGCCGGTCGTTAAACCGGTGATGCAGATACAAAAAAAAAACAAACATAAACATATATTAAAAAAACGGAAATTACAATGCAACGACGAATAGTCACGAAGCTAGCTATGACACTTACCGGTACAAAAGCTTCACCGAGATTAATATGTGCGTGCGCGGATTTTGCTGATTTCAGACAAACGAAAGAGGGAGAAAAACGAGAGAGAGCGAGAGAGGGCGAGAGAGAGAGATAGGGTTGGAATATCACGAGCTGATAAACTACGAATTTGCGACGGACGCAGTTTTCGTCGCAAATTTGCGACGGACTTACAATGCCGTCGCAAATTTGCGACGGTTTTATTTTCCGTTGGAAATTTGCGACGAACGTTTTTCCGTCGCAAATTTGCGACGGAAAATACAATCCGTCGCAAATTCCGTCGCAAATTTGCGACGGCAAAACGTTCGTCGCAAATTTCCGTCGCAAATTTCGTGTTTTTTTGTAGTGGTCAACATAATAATCAATTTTATGAATCCTTTAACATGGCCACCACTAATTCCATGCCCATCCTCCATTGCAACTGTTCAAAGTGGAGGTTACTACGATCGACAGTCTCTATCAATCTGCATCCAGGCAAGCATGCACTTTTGCGTGCATGCACGAGAGAGAGAGAGAACACCCATCGAGATGGAGGTGCTATTATTAGCTAGAGGTGCGGTGACTACGACCGACGGCGGCAATGTCGTGTGGATGACAGGAACCTTGGATGTTGGGTTTCGGAAGAGCTCAAGGTGGGAGAAAGGAAGACCGGGATAAAAGATACAGAAAAACAAAGCAATTGATTTTTGAGTGAGCCGATGTATGCTCCCAAGCATGGTAAACTGAACATCTCAAGTTCTTCCCAAATGGCCGAAAATCCCAATCTCTAAGGGGAAAAATTTCAATGGTAAAAGCCCAGTTAACATCAACTCAAAACGAAGATCGTCGATCCATCAACTGAGGCTTTGTGGTTCTCTAAACAGTTCAATAACAAATCAATCTAAGTGATGGTGAAACCTATATAAGGACGCTAGGGTGAGTGTTAATAAATTTATTGAACTGTATATGTTAATAAATGTCGTTTATATTTCATTTAGGGCAATGTTTCATTAGTTATTATAGCGAGGGATGGAATCAAATAGTGCGATGATGAACATGAAAAGGGCAAGCAGTGGGAAAGTTAAAATTTAAGTAATTTTGTCCTGACTACCATATTATTTCTAATTGGATTATGCTAACATTTGTTTTAGGTTAAATCTTTTATTAGTAATTACAAGGGGTCGAATTGATGAGGGCAACAATTATGAAGATGAAAATGGTAAGTGAAGTAAAGTATAACATGGGAGGCAAGATTTTAATTAGATAAGTAATAAGTTAGTAAGAAATACTTAGATATGATTAAGCATTTAATAAAAAAAATTAACTCCAAACACATTTGTCACTTATTTAACAGTGCTGGCTGTGGACCTACCAATAGTCCTTAATTCACTTATTCATAGTAAAAAAAACATATATCGTTTTTTCTCTTTTTTCATTTTTATTTAATAAATTACATATTTTAAAATATTTGAAATAAGTTATGCAAAAACTTAATTTAGGTTTTTTTTTATCACTTACAAGGAAAGATAAAGTTAACAAGGGCAATGATGATGAGCTAAGTTGGTCAATTTACATTCTTATTAGAAATAATATCCACTCTGGGATCTATTTTAAGAAAACAACTCCATTTCAAACCTCTATTTAAATTTTTTTCTTAAGAAAAAAACTCTAAAAACAAGTGATCTTTTGACGAGTGGTGCGTAGAATTTGAAGTAACACGTTCTACAATATTATGTTTATGGTGGAAATTGAAATTTAAGATGTCTAGAGATATGCTGATTTTTCGTAATGCCAATGATGGCACAATTCTAAACCTTTCAATTATACCAATTGAGTCATAAATCTTTTTTGCCCATATAGTCTATTCGGCTGACTTTGGTCGGAAATTACTAGCATGAACGTCGGCTGTCTTACGTGGCATGGCCGGTGCTGACGTAGACAATTTTTATAATTTTTATTTCTTTTATTTTATTGTATTTCTTTTATTTCTATGTTTATTTTTTTACAACTCTGGGTCGGCAAGGTTTGGGTAAGGGTTGACGCCTTCGCCGGCCACGGGCATGGGCCTCCACGCCCTTGCCAAGATCCAGGCGAGCGCTTCGCGGCCCTCTACTAGATCTGGGCAAGGGCTTGATGCCCTCACTTGTGGCCAGTGAGGGTCAACCGGCCACCTCGCTAGCCCAACATAAAAAAATAAAAATAAAGGAAAGAAATGAAAAGAAGAAAAGAAAAATAATTAAAAAATTAAAAAAAATTAAAAAAATTTGTAAAAATTATCCACGTCAGCGTTGGCATGCCACATAGGACAGCCGGCGTTCATGTCAACGATTTCCAGTCAAAAATTGGCCGAATTGACTACATTGACAAATCGTCAAAAGATTTAGGATGCAGATACTATTGAAAGGTTTAGAACTGAATTGGCATAATTTAGGATTGATCGGCATAAATGCAATAAGTTTAGGACTCGTTTGGTAATTTTCCCGAAATTACACACTCAAACCTTGGCCACTGACTACACTTCCCGTTGATCATCTCTACTGTTTATCTTCTACATGTAAGAAATTTAAGTTAGCAAATCATCGAGCTTACAGTGCATTAAACTATTTAGACACATGAAATTACTCGCTCTAGACCAGAACAAAGTTGACATTTAATATACTAAGTTGTTTCAGATGGGACATAAGATAAGCAAGATTGTACCAAATTGAATGAACCGGATCAGTTCAATTCAAATGTTCTCTCCATAATCGAACTGAATAGAACCATTACGAGTAGCTTCATAACAAAGCAATATGTACATAGATCCCATAACTTCCGAGAGAATCTCTAGGGTAATGCATATGGACACAGGTGTTCCCATAAAGCCATATATAAAGTGAACATAAAAGTTACTAGAGTCTATAATGTAAAAAGGGGGACACAAAAAGAATACGTAATGAATCTTACAGTGGAACATCAAACATGAACCCGAGCAGTCGCTTCACAACACCCGAGCTCAAGACATACAGGAAAAAACACAGTTCCTGTTTCCAGTTATGGAAAGTCCACCTTCTTGCTCTTTCTAAGAATGGAACCCTAGCGAGACCCTCTTTATCTTGAAGTGACTCATGGCACTCACACTTAATGGATGAGCAATTTGCGGCTCCTTTATGCGCCAAGCAGAAGAATCTCTCTGAAACAGTAGATTCCTCTCCATCTATAGACGTTTTCAAGGGAAGGTTCTGTGTAACACAATTCCTGGTCTCTGCTTTTTATTACCTTAAATGCTAAAGATGCTTCTTTAACCAAAGTCGGTTGATGTTTAGACAGCAGGAATAATCCCGCTTACGTCTCTTCCTCTTTCACCTTTTATTTTGTCGTTAATGAGTGGTCCAAAGCATTTGTGAGGATTCATGTCTGCTTAATGAGGAAATATATGACTTGTAAAGCGGTTGATTTTATGCTATATAACAAGAAGGGATAAAGATGATGCTTTTTATTAAGGCGGCGAGATTACATTATCAATTTGTTCCCTGTATGTGATTGACACATGAGAATAATAAGATCTCAGGGCTAAATTGGATGCATCGACAAATTCTCTCTCTCTCTCAACCACAAAGGTTGCCTAGCTTTAGGCCAAAGTCGTGAAACCAAATTAGGGGGGACTTAAGGTGACAACTTCCTTTACACAAATGATTCGTAATGGTCGAATCCTTGTACCGATCTAATCTATTTTCGCAGACACAAACATGTGCGTGTGAACAAAGACACAGGATTTTAGAACTTCGGATGGATTCATGAACTTGGATTAGGACACGATCTAAGTACAGGAGAATTGGAGAGGATAATTTCATTCCCACAAAAAAGATCGACAATGTAAGTTATTTTTTCATTTAGGTATTTAACAAAGGTTTAGGTATATAATTCACTTCTTTCCTTTTTCTTTTGTTCATGTCTAGATATGACCAGAAATGGACAACTTGCATCCTTATGAGGACCCTACAATTGAAAATAGTGTTTATGATTTGCTTTCCGACCTGAAGTATAAGAACATTCACCGCTCTCCAATTGAGTGAACACACTTGGCGAGAAGGGTTGGGAGCTAATCAAGAACTGATTCTTGGGGACCCAACACGAAGAGGCATGGCACAGAGAATCACATAAATCATCAATTGCAATCAAATAAAAATCCCATAAAGCCGACAAATAATATCAATCCTCTAATCAATGAGGAATAAAAACCAGAGCTTCTGTAAAGGGTTTCCGCTTCCACCACGCAAAAGGGTCAAGAGTCCAAGCTAAACCATAACTGGTAGAATCTAGTTACCTTTCTGTTTCGATGTACAAATTGGTTGACACTTGACACGCATTATTATTTTCTCTCTCAAATCACATGCGCCCACACCTGCTGTTTGTTTGCAACACTATAAATATAAGGGTTTCCAAGTTCAAGAAACTCGCCTTCAGTGCCTATTTAGATCATTTCTTTGCACAACCCTAAAAGTTTTCTCTGCTTCAGTAGAGAGAGAGAGGAAGAGAGGGAGAGAGATGGCAAGGGCTTTCGAGCCTCTGACAGTTGGGAGAGTGATTGGGGATGTGATCGACCCATTCACTCCAAACATAAGAATGAGTGTGAAATACGATGGGAAGCAAGTGAATAATGGGCATGAGATCTACCCTTCCTCAGTTGCCGCCAGACCTAGGGTTGAGATTCATGAGGGTGACATGAGGTCCTTCTTCACTCTGGTATCGCACAAATTTATCTTCTTTTAGGACTTTCATTTCTGCATCAAAGATGATCAATAATAAGAGTCATATTGTTCTTTTCCTCGTTTCGGGCAGGTCATGACAGATCCAGATGTTCCGGGTCCGAGTGATCCTTACTTGAGAGAGCACCTTCACTGGTAAGTGATTCCTACTAGAAACCATATAATGTGTGCATGAGTTTGCATCATAATTACGGTAGATTGTTTCATTAACTCAGTCCCATTCAAATGAGATGTAATTTTGATCGAGTATTCCGTCAAATTATTGATTTTGTGCATGATCATTCGGCAGGATTGTCACTAATATTCCTGGTACTACGGATGCAACATTCGGTATGTCTATCCTTCATATTACTTCATTTATCATCTAATCTCTCTCCGTGGCGACAACTTATGTCTTGATTGATTTTACAACATCCGAAGAATTATTCTATCTAAAATCCTAACCGTATGATAATAATATCGCCAGGAAATTGTGTTAAGCCTAGCCTAGCTAAGGTGATCGCGTTGGAACATTGCATTATGCGGACTAGCATAACTTTAGAAGCAGTGACTCACAAGTCTGATGATTCAGATGGATTTATGAACAAACTTTATGCCCATACAAGAATCATTCAATATAAAATGTGTACATGAGCGTGGACATACGACATAGGATTACTTGGTTTGAGGCTTTCTTTGCAAATTATGACAGGAAGGGAAGTGGTGAGCTACGAGATCCCGAGGCCTAACATAGGGATCCACCGGTTTGTCTTCATCCTCTTCAGACAAAAACAGCGACAGCAAATAAGCCAGCCTTCTTCGAGAGATTGCTTTAGCACCCGCAACTTTGCCGCTGAGAACGACCTCGACCTTCCGGTTGCAGCTGTTTACTTCAACGCCCAGAGGGAAACCGCCGCAAGAAGACGCTGATCTGAACACCCTCCCTCTCTCCCCTCCACCCCACCCCCACACCCCCCCCTCTCTCTCTCTCTCTCTCTCTCTCTCTCATTCGCACTTCAAAATCAGTCCAGGGATCTTGTTGTAACACAAATAACCAAGAGAACTGAACTTTCTCTCCCTCTATTTTTATGTTGTTACCTGTTAAAGTCTGCCATGGTTGTCTTTCCATCCAAAGACAATGGATTTGTGACTGATTATTTCCAGATTTGAGCATGTCAAAACTGCTCTCTCTCTCTCTCTCTCTCTCTCTCTCTCTCTCTCTCTCTCTCTCTCTCTCTCTCCGATAGTCTCTCATCATCTCTTCTTGTTATATTCAAAAGGAAAATCATGAGATGGCACGTGAGATGTGAACCAGCATGTTTGCTTTTTATTTTATGCTAAATGCCAAGTTGGGGGTTTCTTCTGGGGCCTGAGTGTGTTGTGTTCCAGCTCAAACATGAAGAATAAAGTTGGAGCATTGGCATCACGCCAAGGGAACATCAATTTCCCATCTCTCAGTCTTATTAACTGTCAGATTTGCGGAGTTATCTCAGAGACACGTTTCTTTTGCTAGTTTTGACAGCATGTCGGCATCTATTTCCAAACCAGCAAGTTTCCTTTTGCCAAACATGTATAGCAATTACTTTTCCAAACCTAGAAGTCCGCCAACTGAATAGATGATGTGTACACGCATGGTACGCATCGGGTACTTCGGTTCGGAAAGATTTATGTGTACGCAGGATGATGTACACAGAAGTAACTCAACATTTTGCAAGCTCAAATACCCGGTACATGATAATAAGGTTTTTAAAATCTTCTCTGTTCTAAATTTGAGTCATACATCAAAGTGATGTTTATTGTCTTAGGTATGTATGATCGTATTGGCTTGCTTTGTGCGGAAACCTCGATGCCTAAGTTCAGGGGTTCGATCGTATATATGGAGAGAAAGGTTAGCACTCGCGCCCATTGCATTTTCAATAACTTTTGAAGATGCACAATAGGTTTCCCTACTTCTTAAATGGAAATGAATTATTAACACTGTCTATTTGAATTTTCTCTCTTAGCGAAGCCCATCTTTCGAACCTGACTGCTTGATATAGATGTTGGCACTTCTGTGAGAGAAACAAGAAAAAAAATGATATCACATACAAGTTTATTTTTCTTTGCAAGCTGACATGACATGTGAATTACCTTACATATATGAAGTGGAACACATTCTACCGTTTTGTTAAAATATATATATATTCCTATTTCATGCCTGTAGATTTCTGAAAGGATTGATGAGTGTAAAAAAGCAGTATTGATAAAAAAAATTACCGGTCACCTAATTTTGAGAAACTTTTTTGTAACCTACCAACACTATTAGGAAATTACTCACTCTTTTCTATAGTAATCAAATTATCAGCTTTTCTTTTATGAATTTTAATTTGTTTTCCTTACCCAACGCCTTAAATTAAGGTTGTACTTTATGTTTGTAATTCATGTCGATTGAGTTTACAGACACGGTAGTAGCTGTAATAACTATCTATGATGATTGTTTGGTATTTCTTGCATCGCCTCTTCTTATATGAACATGCTTCCATTGATTTCACCTTCCATCGGTGTTGTCCTTACTTGCGATGTTTCTTACTGTTCATATTACATTTCTGGGATGATCGTGTTCTTCGCGAGTAATGTTCGTGATGAACATGGACTGTTGTTTTGAACAAAAAAAAAACATGGAGTACTGTAATTTCTGTGATGATTAGCGTCTGCAATAATTTCACTACACAGCCCTCGCTTGTATTTTTTGCATCACATCGCAGTATAGATAGGGGTATGACGTTGGTGACCTCGCAATTTCTGAATAGGTGGAGGGACTTGGCATCTGTTTGAGAATGAATCTTCCTTTCATAAAGTGAAATCTTTTTGAAACAAAAAAACCCGAGATGTATTTCCCCTAGCACAACGGGTCTTGGCAACATCTTCTCCGTTGGGCGTCCACATCCATTGCTGGCAACAGCTTCCATCACCGCCTTGCTCGGTTTGCACTTGGAGCTCTATGCCACCTCATTTGGATAGAGCGTAACAACTTCCTATTTAGAAATGGGACCATTTTCCTGCCTGCGATGCGGAACCATCTTGTCAAAGCTGTTCGAGATAAGGCTCTTTCTCTCAAGCCTGTTGCAGATACTCCGCGCAATAGAAGAATCCAGGCCAGCTGGGACATCCCGACATCTATTTTTCTTAATGTTCTGTAGTTGTTGTTCCTTTGTGGCTCTTTAGTCCGCTTGTTAGAGGCTCAGCTCGTTCTTCTTATCACCCGGGCCCCTGCAGCTTGTAGCGCCCGCTAGCTTTAGTCAGCCGCGACACCTTTGCAACTATCGCAACACCTGTGTTGCGTTAGGTATGAGGTTTTTGTGTACGGCTTTTCTGCTGTATCTTGTGAATTGAAAAGTATATAATCCTCTTACCTTACCAAAAAAAAAAAACCCGAGATGTTTATCAAACTTGTCATGCGTTTTGACTGATTTCGTGGAATCTGGAAAATGGTACTCTAGTGAGTTGTTCTTGTATAGGGATCTTTAAGATAGTCTGATCATGTCTAGGATGAGAAGAGGCGTTTCGAGCCAGTTTGTTCCCAAAGACTACAGCTGCCCATTGCTTAACCCCTTTTTCGAGCCGGTTTTGTTCCCAAGATTTCAACCTTACTAGAGATTACCGACGGGTAACCGGGTTTTTAAAGAACGGTGTTGATCGAACTCCTGCTGCGACTCATAAGTCACGAACAGGACGAGTTTCCTTGTAGATTCCAGAGCTGGAAGCGGGTTACCTACATGATGATCATGGAAAGGGCGCGACAAGGTAAAAAAAGTCCGTATCTACTCTAGTTTCAAGGTTAAGGGCATCGCAAGGGTTTGAACTCAGTGCATTTATGCACAGTCCATTGCTCCATCATTCTTTCGAAGAATATTGTACGGCTTGAGCTCCTAAATTTCCACGCAAGAATCGATGATTTCAACTGAAACTCCACGAACAAGAACACCAAATCTGAACCGCACAAGTTTCCATCTTCCAACCGTGCAGTATAGTGCAAAAAGCAGAAACACATAATCAATCCGACATATATCTAACTTTCAACTATATACGCAACTATCTTTCTTGGTTTTTTTTTTCAGCTACAAAGATCGCATAAGTCGCATCAAATTCCTCTAGCTATATTATCGTACATGAGAGCCCTTGACAATGGGAGCTCGAGAAGCTTCCCTAGGGTCAGTGACTGACCAGCACCCATAATCAGAAACCTCGACGTCTCCGCAAACGACAACCTCCAGCTACTACATCCGGGTAACTCATCGAACGACTTCGCTGGGATGGCGCTGGAGACTTCCTCGGCGGGCAAAAGGCAGTTGGCGAACCGCGTAGTTCCGCCGCTGGTCGCGGCGGTGGCGGCGGCAGCAAAGCAAGAGGTGTCGTCCCAGAAGTAGTTCGGTGGCGGGGTTTTGTCGACGGCCTCTAAGTTGATCTCAAAGAGGTCGTCCTCTTCGTCTTCTAGTTCCTCGACCGAGGCGAGGCGGCTGGGTTGGTTCTTGCCAACGACCAAAGCCATGGCAGAGGAAGGTTTTAGGGGTAATCTGTGATGGAGAATGATGAAAGACTTTTGAGTATTTATAGGATGAGTTTTGAGTGGTGGAAGGGAGGGAGTGTGGGTAAGTAGAACGCCTGCAACAAATCTCCCGCTGATAGGTTTCTGGTTGGTTGCTATTGTTGATGCAATCCAACGTGCTTGCTGACTTATGAACACGCTCGTGTTTTCTTTGGAGTTGTGAGGTTTCTTTGATGGGTGGAAAAATCACCTAACATCGAAGACGAACGCTGGGTCTGAGGGGTAAAACGACTCGAGATTTTGCGATTTCGCCTCGATAAGCCTCGAGTTCTTCCAGTTCGATTTCTATTAGGCGCGGTCTTTTCGGCCTACATCGCGAGCGAGTAATTCCTAGCGAATCCTTTCGCCGGATTGGAAGGGTTGATTGAGTCTATTTGGTAAAACTATTCCGTAGTTCCATCTAACTATAATTAAGAAAGGGAAAAAACTCATTATCTTTGGTTCCAAATGATGGGAACTTTTGGAACAGTCATAAATCATATTGAATACAGCTAAAGATATTAAGACAGAAGTAGAAAATTGGTTTGGAAAGTAATTGCCTCGGTTCTTAATTATTGGGTGTTTGAATATGATCCACTTAGTCGAATATGTACTTAAATTGCCACATCGCTATATCAACTTAATTTTTTATACCGGCATTAGCATCGTGATTTTAATAGCATATATTTTTAGTAGAAAGATTTATTCACGGTAGTGATCTCAAGGCCATAACAAGTGTAAATTGTCATGATCGGTCAGTAAACATGTGCACTCTTGCTCATGGCCTCCAGACTTTATTGTGAACGAGCTAAAACCACTTGGAATTGATGGTTCCCCAAGGGACGGACTTCGGGCGATAATTAGTCATAACTCGTATCTTTTATGTAATTCCAATATAAAATATCGTAACACACTAAAATCGAGAGGTATCAATCAATGAACTAGATTTACTCTTCTTCTTTCTTTTCTTTTTTTTTTTTTCACTCCGACAGTCATCAAGAGATCGGGATCCATTCCCCGAGGATCGTCGGAAACATCCTAGTTTAAGTAGTAAACGCGATGCTACAGGGCTTCGCCTTTATTACTTTGGCAAAAGAATCAAAAAGGGAGAGACATAACTACACAAGCCCAACAACACCCACAGTTTCAAATAGGATACGCTAATGGCCATCTACCATTGACCTAAACCGTCAAGACGAGAGTCAGCAGAAGTAGACTAACGACCTCAACAAAACCTAATGTCCCTTGACCCAACAGCAGCCAAATTCACAACCAACTGTTCCTATTTTAGGACCTAATCTCCCCTACAAGTGATGTTTCGGTAGTGTCCGATGCAGGAGCTGTTCGAACTTCGCGTCATGCTCTCTCGTTTTCTCTGTGCAATCTGCGTCATCATAGCTTGTTGCATAAGGAACAACAGAGAACCTGCGTTCCAAACTGGACAATTCTGATCGCCCACCAAGAAATGAATGCGAATGTCCTCCATGCCCAATCGGCGCCCGTGTTTCAAGAAGCTATTGACTTTAAACGTTTGAGAAGATTAAAAAGGGAAATTGGTGGTGCTCCTTGATGACCTCCGGTGCGGCTCGATTTATGAGCAAGCATCTCTTATTAAATATGAGCAAATTCTGACCTAAAAAAAATTATGAGCGATGGCAAATCTCTTTAGAGCCCAAACCTCCATTTCTCTTACTTTGTTTTCACCTTTCGCTTGGCCCTTTATTTTTGGGATCATGCTGTGAAAAGATAACCGGGGTTCAATGTTTTGGCTGTTAGTCAATCGAGTCTCTAACTACGACCAAAACAAAAAAAAAATCGAGTCTCTAACATTTTATTTTTCTATTTTAAGTACCTAACGCGAAAAAGCCTTAATCAAGTTCCAAGCTTGCCATGGAAGGGTTTCCGAATCAATTTTAAAGTATTGCCATTTAATTAATGTTCTTTTTTACTTTGTTCCGCTCTAACTCTTCTTTGTCTCTTTCTCAACTAAACGCTGCCACCTACCCAATTCCTTTATCATTGGGCCGTGTGCCCAGTGGATATCTACTTGAAAAGTTAACATATGCAAGTCCTTTCTCTAGACTAATTGTCAGTTTGCATATTGATTTTGAAATTTTGCAATATGTTTTCTATTCAAATGATAAACATTTATTACCAGAATATGCTTATTACAAAGATATGCATAAGAATCTATTAGAGATTATCAGCAAAATATGCATAAGCAGCCCCATACTTTAACGTCTCAATAAGATAATTGAAATTACATTAAATGGAGCATGGGATACTACTTCGAATCTATTTTAAAGTGTGATGCAGACTGTAAATTGAATTTGTTGCTGCTGTAAAAATATGCTCTAGAATAGTAATACTAGTTCAAAAAAGGATTTAAGGTGTAGCAATTTTCTCAAAAAGAGGATTTCGAAATGCACATTATCTCAAATAAGATTTTAAAAGTGGTCAAGTTAGTATCAAATAAGGGCCCCTCAGCTTGTTCCGGCGACTAGGGTAGAGGCGATTTCATCCAAATTCACAACCGGGTAAAAAAAAAGTGGTAAAATCCCGAAAACCACAAACCTTAATTTGATGATATATCTTCAAAAAAATGTGGGAGAATATATCTTCAGAAAAGATGCCTACCATTGTTCGAAAGGTGCAATGCTTTTAGCAGAGAGGGGGATGCAAGGTCGTGACATCAACAACACGCATAAACACAGGACTCTGGAGCTCGGCAGCGGCTCCCGAGAATCAGGCTTCAGCATGCGAAGGAACCATCGCCAGATGTCAAGAGAAAATGGTTCAGAACGGAGCCAAAACCGAGCATCAAGAAGAAGCGACGCGAGCGCAGCGCAGCGAGGAACAGAACGGGATTTTACACCAGTGTTGATTTTTCAACCAAGGCAATGATGATGCACAGAAGGGTCAGGACGTTCAGAATCAGAGAGTCCCTCTCGGGGAAGTTTCTGTGAAGGGCCACCTGTAAACATGTCCTGTGCGCGCTTGAGCGAGAAACTTCTTGTTTTTTGCGCTTGAATCCACGATGAATCTTGGAACTCAATTTAGGGTTTTTTTGGTTTTTAGGATTTTTTTCCCCGTTGCAAATTTGGAATGAATCGCCCCTGCCCTGGCTACCGGAACAAGCCAGCTGTCGAGTTTGGATATTTTATTTGAGACTAATTTTGCCACTTCAAGCTCTTATTTCAGACACGGTGCACTTTGAGGCTCTCTTTCGAGAAAAGCCTCCACCTCAACTTCCATATGGAATTTTCCCTAGAAAATTGAAAATGTAAACTAAGTTGCAAGGATGCCAATAGATGATTCGAGTTATTTGTAGTGTGCCGGCGAACTGTACTTGGATACAATAAATATTGACTCATATTGTCTTGACCTCTTCATAAAATTTATCGAAATCGTTTTACTTTCCTTCAAGGAGTCCAAAAGCATTACCTATTTATCAGATATTTTTTAGAGAAACAACAATGAAATCTTAGATATCATTACCAAATGTAGCTTCAATACAGTGTCAATTTAACTCATCTTTCTTGGTGAAGCAACACCAAGGCACATAAATACTTTTATATAACTTTTTCGAAATCATAAGTAACTCTTTGTCGTTGATTTTCATTTATCTTTATCATTTTGTAATATTCATTCATTTGTCAAATACGTTCAAAATAAAGTATACCATTTTGAACACCTATCGAAAATTCAAATAATACTAAAACTTGTTCTAAAGCTCATTCAAAAACTGTCACGCCCCGTACCCCGCGAAGCGCGAACATCCCACGAAGAGGTCGAATTTGATGCGACGTCCCAGGACGCGTCGCCGACCCAACGCCCAACAATCAGATAAACATCTCGCATGCGGAAGCGACGTATATAAATATATATACACCGGTACACAAACAAGATAATCAAGGATAGCACAGTACTAAAACCATCATATTAAAAACATATACATTTCATTACTATCAACTATATACAATATTCATGTCTACCCCATAATACATTTATAAGAGCCAAAACGGGCCAACAACCACCAACCAAAAGAGGGTACGAGGCACGGCGGTCCACACCATATTTAGCCGGGGCTTCTCCCAAAACGAATCGGCACACCTGCCATCCTCAAAGCCGGGGGTCTGAAAATGTGGGTTATTACAACCGTGAGACGAATCTCAGCGAGTACAACCCCTAAACCTAGGCTAGGCTAACATGCATTCTCCTGACCGGAAACAAATATTTAAAAACCATAACACAACAACAATCAATGATTCTCTGACCCTGCAGGTTAGATAGTTCAATATATAATCATCACGGCACATACGTGGCACACATAGTCACACGTACGCCAATCACATGCTCATGCACCGAGTCTCACACACTCGCATGCCAGTCCATGCATGTTCCTGCATGCAAATGTCGTTGACATGTCATATGCATTTCCCGGCCCATTGGCCCACACTGACGCACTGGCAATCGCCCAATTTATTATTTATTACGACTCGAGTCAACAATATTCACGGCCCGGTGCGTCTAGCCCGCTTCAAAGTGCATGAGGCGCAGAACCGATCCGGCCCGGTGTCTCTAGCCTCGCTTCAAAGTGCATGAGGCGCAACACCGATCTCCTTACGAACCAGAGCCTGCTTCAAAGTGCATGAGGATGGTCGTCTTCCGGACGTACCGGGCATCGTCTTGCTTCAAAGTGCATGAGGACGGTATCGACCCGAAGGTCACGACCCGAAGGTCCTTAGGTGATCACACAACTCATTATTATCTGAACCCAGCGTATGACGCTTCGGGGTATTTTAGGTGATCATACACTCATGGCAGGCACGCATTCTCGCACAACTCCACCACATGCCTCACTCTAGGCATACATAATGCGTGTCCATGTCATGCGATGCAATGCGCCATGAGCACCAATGAAATTCAATCACTCAATATCACAACACGTGCTCAATTGGCCCAATTAATACCGTGTGGCCCAACGTGCGATTCACAATTCAATAATTAATTTCAAACCAATCATTGGTAAATCGCACTCCACATAATTCAGCCACACGACATGCGACATGGTAGTACGAAATCAATCATAATTAAGCACAAATTACGTACAACCAGTCAACCCGGACATACCAGGTAATTTTCCAATGGGCTCCTAAATTGGTCATTTAATCCAATTAATCTCCCCAAATAATTCTCATTAATCCACTAAATTTTCCCGATAACAATTTCTACCAATCAGTCCTCAACCCAGTCTGAAATACACACTGATACTACCTAAGCTAGTCCAGAAAAACGCACTATTAGTCCTAATCCGGGTTTAGGAATTTTACTCACTTAATTTCTAGACCACGGCGACGAGGAATGGCGGCCGATCACTGGTGAACAGTGGAACCGGCGGCGGCGTTTCCGGCGACGGCGTACGGACAACGTGAACAGTGACCGTACTGACGGCGTGAACAGTAACCGTACGGAACGTCGTACGGAAACTGTACGGACGGCGATGAACAGCGACGTACGGACGTCGGCAACGTCACAGTGGCAGCAGTTCAGCCGATTGGGCTCCGACGCGGCGGCGGTGAGGCTCCGGCACGGCGGCAGTGCTAACCCTGGAGAGAAAAAGGGAGAGAAAGAGAGAGAAAAGGAGAGAGAAAGTGGTCGGGTGAGGCTGAGGCTAAGGCTGGGGACAGAGGTGGTCGACGGCGAGGCACGGTGGCCGGCGACGGCGCTCCGGCGGCCGGCGGTGAGCTCCGGCAAAGCCAAGCCGAGAGAGAAAATGGGAGAGAAAGAGTGATCGGGAGGGGAGAGAGAGCTCTGGCCGAGAGTGAGGGTGAGAGGAGAGAGAGAGGATTAAATTCTGGTCAAATAATAGGGGCTAGGGCGCCAAGTGTCGCCAATCTACGCAAAATGACCAAAACGCCCCTAATCTAACGGCCTTAATTAATCCTTATCCAAAAAGTGAAGGGTAAAATGGTCTTTAGCCCCGATAATGCAGCTGATCCAAAAAGTGAAGGGTAAAATGGTCTTTAGCCCCGATAATGCAGCTGATAATCATCAATAATTTTCCCAAATAATTTCCCAAAAATTCGGACCCGAAAATAGCCTAGGGGCAAAACCGTCATTTTTCCGGTCCCGGGGCGAAGTTCCATTTTTCGCCCGTACCAACCCTCCATGTGCGTGGCCAACATAATGTGGTATCGGAATCGCGAAATTCATCGCGCAAGCCCTCGAAAATCCACGTCAAAGTTTCGGGAATAAAATAATATTATTTTTCTAATTTTTGTCGAAATTCCAATTTTTGGCCATAACGACTCCTGGTATGCGTGGCCACCCAAAAATGGCGTCGGCCTCGAAAAATAACCTCATTTGGCCTTGAAAAGCAACGCTGGCGTCCCGAGGGGCAAAATCGTAATTTTTCATCCCCTGACCGAAATTCCAATTTTTACTCATACTAACTCCAAACGTGTGTGGCCAACGTGATATGACGTCAAATTCCCAAAAATAGTCTCTTAAGCCTTCGAAAATCGACATCGAAATCCGGCCCCAATTCCGTGAACAAAACTCGCTAAACTTTCAATTTCAGGGTCTCTCACTAACGGGCGGCTGTTTAGGGATTACGCGTATCGACCTAGGGCTATCCGTATCGTAATGGTCTCGATCATCGAGAGAATGAGAAATTATCACTAGTTCTAGAGGTCACGATCGTTCGGTTCAAGTTCAGGACTGGTTGGCCACGTGTACTTTCGGTCTTGCAGAATCACCTGCGTCCCTATTGTACATCGTAGGCCTTGGCCAAACCCAATCCATTACCCTTTCCTACGATCGGCTCACGTTGGCCCAAAATATTCCCTCAGCGTCTCTCGTGATCGGTGTCCGTTTCACGATAGGGTCCCCGGTCCACGTACTGCTTCTTAATTAGCCATACCCTATTGGTTAGTATCCCGAGAGTGATCAGCTCTGGGCGAGACTTACTAAAATGAAATGCGAATTAATATCAGTTTTATTGATCCCGGAATTACATCGAAATTCGGGCTATTACAATTCTTTCCCCCTTACAAAAATTTCGTCCTCGAAATTTACAATCTATCCTTATCTACTCAAATAACTGGTGGTGTTGACGTCTCATAATTTCTTCGCTTTCCCACGTGGCACCTTCTGTTCCATAGTGCTCCCAGACAACTTTGACCATCGGGATCGTCTTGTTCCTCAGCACGCGCTCTTTTCTATCCTCGATCTTGACTGGTCTCTCCACGTACGACACTTTATCGTCCACTTCTATCTCCTCATACCTTAAGACATGAGTCGGGTCTTGATCATACTTTCTTAACATCGACACGTGGAAAACACTGTGCACTTGAGACAAATTGGGCGGCAAGGCAAGTCGGTAAGCCATATCTCCAATCTTTTCCAAAATCTCAAATGGCCCGACATACCTAGGACTCAGTTTTCCCTTCTTGCCGAATCTAGATAATCTCTTCATAGGCGACACCTTAAGAAACACGTAATCTCCAACCTGAAACTCTAAAGGTCGTCGTCTTCGATCGGCATAACTTTTCTGGCGACTCTGCGGTGTTCTGAGTCTGTCTCGAATGACCTCAACTGCCTCAACTGTCTGCTGGATCAACTCTGGACCCATGATACTCCGTTCACCCACTTCATCCCAACACACCGGCGTCCTGCACGCCTTACCATTTAAGGCCTCAAACGGTGCCATTTGAATGCTCTGCTGATAGCTATTATTATAGGCAAACTCCACCAAGTGTAACTATTCCTCCCTTTTGCCTTGAAAATCTATCACACAAGCTCTCAGCATATCCTCCAGGGTTTGAATGGTCCTTTCAGACTGGCCATCTGTCTGTGGATGGTATGCCGTACTAAACTGTAACTTCGTTCCTAAGGCCGTTTGCAAACTTTTCCAAAAGTTGGCCGTAAATCTCGGATCACGGTCTGAAGTGATCGTTACTGGTACTCCATGCAACCTCACGATCTGCCTCACATACAAGTCTGCGTATCTATCCAACTCAAAGTCCTTTCGCAGCCGAAAGTTCGCCGATTTAGTCGGTCTATCCACTATTACCCGATTGAATCATGTCCTTTCTCGGCTTCTTGGCGATCTGTCACGAAATCCATTGTAATATGTTCCCATTTCCACTTTGGGATTTCTAATGGTCTCAATAATCCTCCAGGCTTACAATGTTGTGCCTTCACTTGTTGACACGTCAAACACTTAGCTACATGCCTGGCCACATCTACTTTCATCCCATTCCACCAATAGTGTTGTCTCAAATTCTGGTACATCTTCGTACTCCCCGGGTGGATACTGTAATTGCTCCTATGAGCTTCCGATAATATTTCTTCCTTAAGTTTTATATCATCCAGCACACACAATCGCCCTCTAAATTTCAGAACTCCATCCTCAGACACTTGAAAGTCCGGTTTCCTCCTAGCTGCATCCATCTCAATAATCTTTTGGATTTCTGGGTCCATAGACTGTAGTTCCTTAATCTTGACCTGAATTTCTGGCTCAATCCTCAAGGCGGCCAGCAAATTCGATACTCGACTCATCTCGAACTTAAACTCAGAATCCCTGAGTCTTTCCAACAAGGTCCACTCCTTGACCATTAAATGCGCCAAACTAGACTTTCGACTCAAAGCATCTGCCACTCGATTGGCTTTCCCAGGGTGATACAGAATGTCGCAATCATAATCATTTAGAAGCTCCATCCATCGGCGCTGCCTCATGTTCAACTCTTTTTGCGAAAATAGGTACTTGAGGCTTTGATGATCAGTATAAATCTGGAATTTCTCTCCACACAAGTAGTGCCTCCAGATCTTAAGTACAAACACGATAGCAGCTAATTCCAAATCATGCATCGGGTAATTCATCTCATGCGGCCTCAACTAACGCGACGCATATGCCACCACTTTTCCATGCTGCATCAGCACACAGCCCAATCCTCTTAGCGAAGCATCGCTATAAATCTCGAATCCTCCTGGGCCCGACGGAATGGTCAATACAGGGGCAGTCGTTAACCGGTGTTTCAATTCCTGAAAACTCCTTTCACACTTGTCATCCCATTCAAACTTCACCTCCTTCTTAAGCAGCTTTGTCATTGGCATGGCTATTGATGAAAATCCTTCCACGAATCGCCTGTAATAACCAGCCAATCCGAGAAAACTTCGAATCTCGGTTACTGATGTTGGTCTAGGCCACTTGGTAACTACTTCAATCTTAGCTGGATCTACCGAAATTTCATCCCCAGAAACGATATGCCCAAGAAATCCTACTCTGCTGAGCCAAAACTCACACTTGCTGAACTTGGCATACAACGCATGTTCTCTCAAGGTACGTAGCACTTCAGCCAAGTGTACCTCATGATCGTCGGGGCTCTTAGAGTATACTAGTATATCGTCAATAAAAACTATCACAAACTGATCCAGGAATTCCTTGAACACCCGATTCATCAAATCCATGAAAGCGGCTGGGGCATTCGTTAATCCGAAGGGCATGACCGTAAATTCATAATGCCCGTACCGAGTCCTGAAAGCAGTTTTGGGAATGTCCTCATTTCTGATCCTTAGCTGATGGTACCTAGTCCTCAAATCTATTTTGGAAAACATTGAGGCTCCTTGCAACTGATCAAACAGATCATCAATCCTTGGCAGTGGATACTTATTCTTCACTGTTACTTGGTTCAACTGCCGGTAATCTATACACAATCTCAGAGTTCCATCTTTCTTCTTGACAAACAGGACTGGCGCTCCCCATGGAGACAGACTAGGGCGAATAAAGCCTTTGTCTAGTAGTTCCTGTATCTGGACCTTTACCTCTTTCAATTCTGATAAAGACATCCTATACGGCGCTTTCGAAATCGGCTCTATTCCTGGTGCCAATTCAATCACAAACTCCACCTCTCGCTCAGGCGGCAAACCCGGCAATTCCTGAGGAAACACCTCGGGAAAATTGCTTACTACGGGTATATCTTCCAACTTAGGTTCCACCACTGTTAGATTCACAACATTTACCAAATATCCTTCACACCTTTCATCCAACAGCTTATTCACCTCAAGCGAGGAAATCCAAGGGATCGAGGTTCCTCCTCGGTTTCCTTGAAATACAAAACTAGGATATCCATCTGGATTAAACTGGATCACTCTACTGCCGTAATCCACTACGGCATTTTGTTTAGACAGCCAATCCATACCAATTATCACATCAAAATCGAACATGGCCAACACTGCCAAGTCGATGCTTTCTCCTCTATCCCCAATCACTATTTTACAATTAGGACACCCCAATGACACTAACACTTTATCATTTAATGGGGTTGTCACACAAAGCATGGTCTCGAGCACAACAGGTTTAATTCCAACCAATCTAACAAACTGCTTTGAAATAAATGAATGGGTCGCCCCCGGATCAAACAATGTATAGGCAGCACGATCACATAAAGAAATCGTACCTGTGACCACGCTCGGCGTATCCTCCGCCTCTCTACGTGCCATAGCATAAACTCGCCCTTGCGCTGGCGGCCTGCTCTGATTAGCTGGTGGGGGATTCCCGGCTTGATTCCCTATTCTGGTTTGCTGCGGTTGCCCTGGGGGTACTGAAGGGCGCTGTTGGGGACAATTTTTGATCTGATGCTCCAAACTTCCACACTTAAAACAAGCCCCAAATCGGCTCGAGGGAGGGTTCGGTTTCCCAAGGTTCCTCCTAATTGGTGGGACGAAGCGCCTATTCCCTGTCATTGGTCTCTTCCCCAGACGGCGGTTATCTCTGTTCTGGGCAAACCGCGATCCAGATGCGGCTGCCCTATCCACCTGGTCCCGCTCAAGAGCCTGAGCTCTATCATAGATGTCCTCATAGGTTCTCAGATTGGACGGTATTAACAGGGTACAAATGTCAGGTCTCAATCCTTTCCGGAATTTTCGCGCCTTATCCTTGGGATGTTCCACCATCCTCAGCGCAAACTTAGACAATCTAGCGAATTCTGCCTCATACTGATTGACAGTCATCTGACCCTGGCGGAGTCGCACAAATTCTGCTATCTTCCTGTCCCTGGCACTATCCGAGAAGTATTTCCCATAAAAATTTTCAGTAAACATAGCCCAAGTCTGGGCGATACCTTCCGGAAATACTCTTCCCTTGGTGGCCTTCCACCAATCACTCGCATTTTCCTGCAACTGATAAACGGCTAGTGTCACTTTCTCCTGCTCGGTGCACCCCAACACCTCAAACGCCTTTTTCAGTTCTTCTACCCACTTCGGTGCAGCCTCGGGGTCACCTTTTCCCGTAAACTTAGGCGGCTTCAATTTCATAAATTGCTCCACTAGATGGGGCATCAATCTAACCCCTGCTGGTTGGCCTGCCCTGGATTGGCCTGATTTATTTCATTACCAGCTATCGGGGCGGCCTCAGCTGCCTGAGCATAAGCTGCGGCCCTTTCCTGAGCCTGCAATCCCATAACACGCCCTATCTCCCGTAGGGTATTCATTACCTCATCAAACCTGAGATCTCTAGCCTCTCGGACTCCCTCGCTAGCCTGGGCTTGGGGCTCCTTCCCCCTTCTCCTACTTGGAGCTTGAATAATGTCCTCTAGTCGGCGGTCTCGGCCCTCTTGGCCTTCTGAACTAGGCTGACCCTGGGGTTCCTTACCCTTTCTTCTACTCATCTTGCTACCTGGCTATACAACTACCTGCTATAATTCCATCAAGGAATTAAAGACTTAAACCAATCTATCACAGTCTAAGCCCTAAGCAGGTACGAAAACAACAATCAAGCAATCAACATGCGGCTTACTAAGAATTAATCAACTCATCACCCAAGGGTTTTGCATACTCACCTCAGGTCCTGCCGCGCCTGCACTTTACGGGTCAAACAACCAATCAATTCAAACACAAACACACGCTGTCAGGAGATACATGTAGCACACGAGGTCACCCTACTGACTACCCATGGTCTCATCGCTCCTTATCACTCCAGGCTTCGACCAAATGGAATCGAGCTGACCTTGCTCTGATACCAAATCAAATGGGGATGTCACGCCCCGTACCCCGCGAAGCGCGAACATCCCACGAAGAGGTCGAATTTGATGCGACGTCCCAGGACGCGTCGCCGACCCAACGCCCAACAATCAGATAAACATCTCGCATGCGGAAGCGACGTATATAAATATATATATACACCCGTACACAAACAAGATAACCAAGGATAGCACAGTACTAAAACCATCATATTAAAAACATAGACATTTCATTACTATCAACTATATACAATATTCATGTCTACCCCATAATACATTTATAAGAGCCAAAACGGGCCAACAACCACCAACCAAAAGAGGGTACGAGGCACGGCGGTCCACACCATATTTAGCCGGGGCTTCTCCCAAAACGAATCGGCACACCTGCCATCCTCAAAGCCGGGAGTCTGAAAATATGGGTTATTACAACAGTGAGACGAATCTCAGCGAGTACAACCCCTAAACCTAGGCTAGGCTAACATGCATTCTCCTGACCGGAAACAAATATTTAAAAACCATAACACAACAACAATCAATGATTTTCTGACCCTGCAGGTTAGACAGTTCAATATATAATCATCACGGCACATACGTGGCACACATAGTCACACGTATGCCAATCACATGCTCATGCACCGAGTCTCACACACTCGCATGCTAGTCCATGCATGTTCCTGCATGCAAATGTCGTTGACATGTCATATGCATTTCCCGGCCCACTGGCCCACACTAACACACTGGCAATCGCCCAATTTATTATTTATTACGACTCGAGTCAACAATATTCATGGCCCGGTGCGTCTAGCCTGCTTCAAAGTGCATGAGGCGCAGCAACCGATCTGGCCTAGTGTCTCTAGCCTGCTTCAAAGTGCATTAGGCGCAACACTGATCTCCTTACGAACCAGAGCCTGCTTCAAAGTGCATGAGGATGGTCGTCTTCCGGACGTACCGGGCATCGTCCTGCTTCAAAGTGCATGAGGACGGTATCGACCCGAAGGTCACGACCCGAAGGTCACGACCCGAAGGTCCTTAGGTGATCACACAACTCATTATTATCTGAACCCAGCGTAAGACGTTTCGGGGTATTTTAGGTGATCACACACTCATGGCAGGCACGCATTCTCGCACAACTCCACCACATGCCTCACTCTAGGCATACATAATGCGTGTCCATGTTATGCGATGCAATGCGCCATGAGCACCAATGAAATTCAATCACTCAATATCACAACATGTGCTCAATTGGCCCAATTAATACCTTGTGGCCCAATGTGCGATTCACAATTCAATAATTAATTTCAAACCAATCATTGGTCAATCGCACTCCACATAATTCAGCCACACGACATGCGACATGGTAGTACGAAATCAATCACAATTAAGCACAAATTACGTACAACCAGTCAACCCGGACATACCCGGTAATTTTTTAATGGGCTCCTAAATTGGTCATTAAATCCAATTAATCTCCCCAAATAATTCTCATTAATCCACTAAATTTTCCCGATAACAATTTCTACCAATCAGTCCTCAACCCAGTCTGAAATACACATTGATACTACTTAAGCCAGTCCAGAAAAACGCACTATCAGTCCTAATCCGGGTTTAGGAATTTTACTCACTTAATTTCTAGACCACGGCGACGAGGAACGGCGGCCGATCACTGGTGAACAGTGGAACCGGCGGCGGCGTTCCCGGCGACGGCATACGGATGACGTGAACAGTGACCGTACGGACGGCGGTGAACAGTTACCGTACGGGGACGGCGGTGAACAGTAACCGTACGGGAACGCCGTACGGACACTGTATGGACGGGCGATGAACAGTGACGTACGGACGTCGGCAACGTCACAGTGGCAGCAGCTCAGCCGATCGGGCTGCGGCGGTGAGGCTTCGGCGCGGCAGCGGTGCTAACCCGGGAGAGAAAAAGGGAGAGAAAGAGAGAGAAAAGGAGAGAGAAAGTGGTCGGGTGAGGCTGAGGCTGAGGCTGGGGACAGAGGTGGTCGACGGCGAGTCACGGTGGCCGGCGGCGGCGCTCCGGTGGCCGGCGGTGAGCTCCGGCAAAGCCAAGCCGAGAGAGAAAATGGGAGAGAAAGAGTGATCGGGAGGGGAGAGAGAGCTCTGGCCGAGAGTGAGGGTGAGAGGAGAGAGAGAGGATTAAATTCTGGTCAAATAATAGGGGCTAGGGCGCCAAGTGTCGCCAATCTACGCAAAATGACCAAAACGCCCCTAATCTAACGGCCCTAATTAATCCTTATCCAAAAAGTGAAGGGTAAAATGGTCTTTAGCCCCAATAATGCAGCTGATAATCATCAATAATTTTCCCAAATAATTTCCCAAAAATTCGGACCCGAAAATAGCCCAGGGGCAAAACCGTCATTTTCCGGTCCCGGGGCGAAGTTCCATTTTTCGCCCGTACCAACCCTCCATGTGCGTGGCCAACATAATGCGGTGTCAGAATCGCGAAATTCATCGCGCAAGCCCTCGAAAATCCGCGTCAAAGTTTCGGGAATAAAATAATATTATTTTTCCAATTTTTGTCGAAATTTCAATTTTTGGCCATAATGACTCCTGGTATGCGTGGCCACCCAAAAATGGCGTCGGCCTCGAAAAATAACCTCATTTGGCCTTGAAAAGCAACGCTGGCTTCCCGAGGGGCAAAATATTTTCATCCCCGGACCGAAATTCCAATTTTTACTCGTACTAACTCCAAACATGTGTGGCCAGCGTGATATGACGTCAAATTCCCAAAAATAGTCTCTGAAGCCTTCGAAAATCGACATCGAAATCCGGCCCCAATTCCGTGAACAAAACTCGCTAAACTTTCAATTTCAGGGTCTCTCACTGACGGGCGGCTGTTTAGGGATTACGCGTATCGACCTAGGGCTATCCGTATCGTAATGGTCTCGATGATTGAGAGAATGAGAAATTATCACTAGTTCCAGAGGTCACGATCGTTCGGTTCAAGTTCAGGACTGGTTGGCCACGTGTACTTTCGGTCTTGCAGAATCACCTGCGTCCCTATTGTACATCGTAGGCCTTGGCTAAACCCAATCCATTACCCTTTCCTACGATCGGCCCATGTTGGCCCAAAATATTCCCTCAGCGTCTCTCGTGATCGGTGTCCGTTTCACGATAGGGTCCCCGGTCCACGTACTGCTTCTTAATTAGCCATACCCTATTGGTTAGTATCCCGAGAGTGATCAGCTCTGGACGAGACTTACTAAAATGAAATGCGAATTAATATCAGTTTTATTGATCCCGGAATTACATCGAAATTCGGGCTGTTACAAAAACTTATTGTAATCCGTAATTTAAAGTTTATTCTCACCAATTATAAGACAATAGGGATTTTCGTCATCAATGATAAAGTGATAAGAATCATCTTTGATAAATATTTTAATCATTTTTAAATAAATGTTAAAAATTAAACTTACAGACCCTTAATTGAGTTTTGCATGCTTGTTGACTTGTAATTCTCAAATATAAATATTAAGAACTAACACATTTGAGTTCACTATAGTTATGCATCTAATCATGAGAGTCCTAACTAATTATCCATTAATGAAATATGAGAAATTGTATAATATATTGGAAATCTAATCATTGCATAGTTATATTTTTTTCATTTGCATCGACGAGAGATATCACGAAAATATGCATAAGGATTAAATACGCAAAATTATAGGTTTGCATTGATTAGAGATTGATTTACCAAAATATGCATAAGAACTAGAGATGTGAAAGTTTGTTTAGATTGGAGATTTGTTAGGAAAGGAGATTTGTTAAAGTGGATATTAGCAAATTGGCCTAATAATCTAAAAAAACCCCAACTTTAGGTCCAATCCCAGTTCTACCCTTAACTTTTTTTGGTCATGTAAAAAACTCCCAATTTTAGGTTTAGTCCCAATTCTACCCTAAACATTTTTGTCCCATGAAAAACTCTCAACTTTACGTCATATCTTAATTTTACCATCCAGTCCTAATTTTACCCTAAAATTTTTACAGTCTCATAAAAAAATCACAATTTTTTATTTGAGTCACAAATCTATTCCTATTAACCTCCCATCCAAAATTTCTTATTGACCGCCGAGAGATTGAAAATTCCCGAGCACAAACTATTCGAGCGTCCAGAGCCGAGTGTTCCAAGTGTGAGTTCTACGACCACGAGAGATGAAACACTCTCGAGCACGAGAAATTAAAGGACAAGCGCAAAATCAAAGATCTTTGAGCGAGATGGAAGGAAGACTTTCTTATGAGTAAGAGGAATTGTAGAAAGCTAACCCTAATTACTCTAATTTTTTACCTAAATTTCATATT